AAAAAATAAAAAAAAATGTAATTTGTCTCAATTTTTGTTTCGTTTAACATTTGTTTTCACCAGTTTAGTGTGACAATTTGCAATAAACTGGTTATAAATAATTAGCTCATGGACTCCAGACACAAAATTCGGAAACATGTGAATGATCTAAATGATCCGGTGTACAACACTCCCAATCCAGGTTGCTCACCACCAGTAACTCGTTCAGCCAAATTATCAACATCTTCATCATCATCATCTCCAGTGCCAGTAACTGGTACAGCAATATCATCAACCACTATTAAACATGTTAGCATCTACACAGAGAAAAAGAAAAAGGTTCGAAGAAGCTTAACCAGAAGTTTAACTAGAAGTCCGACACCTATAAAGTATGACTATGATATCTACAAGAAAAGAAGTCCTACTTTCGGAAGACGATGTCCAGTTCTTAATCGCCGTCCTAGAGGATCAAAGAGTGATATAGACAATCGATCTAAGTCAACAAATCGTCAAGAACAAGTCACTACAAGCCAAACAAGTTCTACGGGTAATAGCAATAGGAACGGCAAACCAAGAAAGGTAAACTTTGATAATGAAACCATGAAGCCTGTATCATCACGAATCTCAAGTGGAAGCTCGAAAGGTCGCTCAATAGTCTGGGATAATCCATCTTACTTTCAACATGATGATCGAGAATCTCAGCTTGATGGGAAAAAAGTATCAAGAAAAAGAAAGCCTCGCCAATCCCCTTTTAGATGGCAACATGACCTATTTGAGGATGATGGATCTCCTTTGGAAAAGGCTGAACTGATGAATCAAAGGAAAGAAGCAAAGCTTAGTGTTTCAGATGATTAACTTAGAAAATACTATTTAGGAGTTAATTTAATGAAGCCATAGTGTTGTGAATAAAATTTATCAAGTGCAAAAAGCAAATTTAAATTATAGTTAAATTTTTATTCCTTCATCAATTCACATCTACATCTGATGCTGGACATTTTTCACATCTATGACTTACAAAAATAATTTATATGTTAAATACTGTTCCAACTTGTTTATGCCAATATTAATCGAGGAATCGATATATTAACGAGGAGTATAATCGTTGAACTTATACTGGCTGTTATAATGTACTGATCAATCAAGTCCTCCTTAAATTACAAATAATTTTTAAGTGAATGGTGCAAACCCAATTCAGAAATTATTTTGCATATTTGTTTCCCATTTTACTTTCCATCGTCTTCATCGTCATCATCATCATCATCATGTTAACTTAGAAATTAAAACTCGCTAAGCAATGTAGATTCCAATTACATTCACATCGCTTTTCTAATATCGCATCATTTTCCTACTTATTGCTAGTATGTTTACAATTAAAGTTTAATATCTGCTCCAAAAAATATGATCTTATATTGATGCAAACATAATTTATTCCCACAATTCTTTCAGTCTCTTGATATATTTTGACTTTTTTTGTGTTTCAAAACAGAAATTTAGGTGCCTGGGACTAATGTTCATGAGCCATATTTTATTTAATTTAAATAATTTCCTGCATATTCAATTATCTATTGTTTAGGGATTAGCCTGTTTTATTGAAATTTCAAAATCTTCATTATATCATTCAAAGTGTGCGCTAAGCTAGTTAAACTTTCGGGTAAAAAATTTACTATTCATACTAATTGAAAAATTTTGAAATGATTTATGAAATTGAAACGCACAATTGATATGTAATTTGTTTCTTATTATAAAATTATATTACTTAAGTATCAATGAATACTTTACAATCAAGAAAATAGTACATGAGGCTAAAGATTTTAGGATAACTGGATTATGGGTTACATATCATTTTATTGCATTGTACATTGCATTGTATTATTAATACTTAAATTTCAAATTTCCCACCTTTTTACAATAACGAGTTTATGTAACCTAAGAGACAAATTTATAAAATGCAAAAGGTGGGAATTTATTGCTTTCTGTTCTTCATTTATTTGACTGATTTACTGTGACAATTGGAAGTTTAACTGATTATCCAAGGACTCCATGGACGTCAGGGACAAAATTCGCAAGTCATTGAACGACGCAAATGAGCCTGTGTATCGTACTCCTAATCCAGGTTTTTCACCATCGCTACCTTGTACAACTCAATTGTCAACATCTTCCGTGACATCGCCATCTCCATCATCAGTGCCACCAATTCCAAGTTTCAATCCAGAATTATTTAAAGACATTAGTGGAGATTACTTGAAAAGTATTCTTGCTTCTGCCAATTCAACCCCTCAAATAATCTCTAGTCATTCTTCGGGTATATCGTCACCCTCATCAAACGATGTACCCTATCTGACTCGTCAACTTGCTGAATTATTCAAACGAGAAGAAGATATTTATCGCCGTAGAAAAGATTTAGAAACACAACTGGCTGAACTTCGAGCGCAAGAAAACGATTTATTCAATCAGCGTTCTTTTTTGGTTAAACGTCTTGAATGGGTCGTTAAATCTAAACCAACCTCTCCACCTGCAAATACATCGCCAGTCTCTCTTTCCCCATCTTCTAGGTTATCAACCACAATAATTGAAAGTGTCGAGTCTGAACCGAGCGCTTATCGCCCACCAGCAATAACTGAATCAAATACTCAATTGACCAAGAAAAGGCCTGGACCAGCATCTAAGACATGTCCACCTAACCCACCAATTTCCTCGCCGATCACTTCATCAACACCACTCTCACAAACAAAAACTAACTTATTTAAAAAACCAAGGATAGATAATGATTCTAATAAAAAACCAGTTACAAGTGGAGTTAAACAATCAAGACCACAGCCAATGAGAGCTAGAAAACGCACAGCGCCAGTAGAAGAACCTTCTGCATCTAAAGAGCAAAGATCCGGAGCCCAGCTTAAAACATCTCAACCACCTCAGCCACCTCAGCCGTCTGCAAATCAGTCTATCTCAACAAAATCAGCTCAAGAAAAACAAAAATCCTCCGCTTTATCGAGTAAACCTGATCAACAAAAGTCAAATTCACCAAAAGATATTCCCAAAGCATACACGTCAAGTGAACCTATTGTTAAAGTCAAGAAAGAACCTACATCAAAGAAAAGTGAACCTAATAAGGTTGCTAAAGATGATCATAATGAAAATCAATCAGATTCAACAACAGGAGAGTCTAATGACGATGCTTGCTCAGATAGCGATATCTTTGTTGCTTTAGGCAGAATAAAAACTGAGTCAAGTAGCGTCAACGTTGCAAGTGTAAAAATAGAGAAGGTGAACATTAAGACGGAACCGAAAGATAAATGATAATTTGTTTTATTTCATGATTATCGAATTTTCAAGCGAATTGCAAAAGTCCGCATTACATTTCTCTTTAATATGAGACTAAATTTAAAATGTATTTATACTGCAAAACTATTAGTTATTGACAATACTCGTCCTCACGCCGAGTCTAATATACTTTCAATCAATTAAACTTGGTTATGAAAGACTTCGTAGCCATCAATAATGCTGAAAATAATGCTGATTTTAATTTTAGTATAGAATAAGTTAGTTTATTTCCAGTTTCTCAGCTAATAAGTTTCATTGTCAATCATAAGTTCAGTTGCAATAAATTACATATTCATAGTAAAGATATCTCATTCCATTTAAAAAGCAGGACAATTTTCATCCAACACTATATTTGAACTACTTATAATTTTTGCATCAATAACCTCATCAAGTAATCTAAATTTTGCTCAAAAAGCTGTTTTTAGTTGCTTGTCAAATATTGAGCTGTGATCCTATTCATGACAAGTTTCTGTTATTAAATTGAATGATTGAAGTGCTACATGGTACAATAATTGTACAGATCATTGTGTAAAAAGTCAAATCTTGTATTCTGTATTCTTTAATCGCATTCTGTATTTACATTAGCTACAACCGTTAAAAATATTAACCGCTATCAGTTTGCTTTATAAATGATCCAGTATCAATAATAAATTTCGATAGTGGCTTCTCATTCCAAAATAAGTAGTTAAACCAGATTGAATCGTTATCAAATGGAACAATAAATTGATGCTTGAATCTAAAAGTACTATTCAACCACAGAAGACGAAGAAAATGAACTGTGGTGAAGATCAGCAGATGATGAAATTTTGGCTCTAATTGGTTCATTCACAATTCATCCCGGAACATTAATACAAGGTTTAAATTTTAAATGAAAATATCAAATCAAATATATTAACTATTAACTATTCAGTCAATCCACATTTATATGGTTCGAATTTTAATACAAAGCCAATATAAAATGAATCACTTCTAAAATCAAGCAATAAAAGGTTTATCAAAGTTGGTTATTCAATTTTGCTCTTTATTCATGGATAGCGTGCCTAGAAATTATGACTAATTCTTACATTATCAAATTGTCGAGGATTTTGTCTCTTTCCGTTTTATGAAACCTCATTTTAGAGCTATTTGACTATTTTATTTAAGAGCTTTGACAAGCGATTTTCAAGTCTTCATTAGTTATAGTTAAATGTAGCTCATATCGCACAGGTCTTGAATTTTATAACTAATTATTCTATGAAAATTCTCATTCTCTAGCTCAAACATTCTGATGAGGAATAAACCTAATGGATCAAAACTTTTCCCAATAGATTATTCATCCGAAAGGCTAAGTATTGATGAAACGTTTTGAAAAGACAATTTAATGTCAAATCAAAACACGAATGGATTCTCGATGTGTATTAACTACAATTACTTCCAGCAAAGATTTATGATGATCAATGGGTTAGATTTCAATTCAAGGTCTCTGTCAAATACAAGGCTAGATTACGCAAATCGTAAGAAAGGCGTTTATAAAGCAATTTAAAATAATCAAGCAGTTTAAGCAGAAAAGTTATTTTATTGAAGGTTAGATTGAAACACTGTTGAGTGGCATCAGTAAATTAGACTCTGTTACCAGGTTTATCTAATTCACATCATAAGATACAATCTTCTTCAATAATATAAAATGAAGATGGAGATGATGATTGAAATTGTGATTATTGGAAATTTAGAAAAAAAGAAATTGAAGAAAAATATTAGTTGAAAGATACAATTAATTCGTTAGTAATCAGAATATATGTTTCTGTTGAATTTTTTCATTTTTTTGTTTTACCATAGTTCACCATCTTTTTCTTTACTAGGCACTTCAATAACTCTAGGTTTGTCAATTATTCGAGCAGTTCTATTTCCTTTTTCTACAATGCCAATAATCCAAGCTGAATATCCTTCTTGTTTTTCAATATCTTTACAAAAAGCAGCCGCTTGTTCTCGTGGTAAACAAATTAACAACCCACCAGAGGTTTCAGGAGAGTATCCTTGTAATAATTGGAACATACTGCTACAAGCTCTACCAACTGCAGCCATTTTAGCAATGATGGGTAGATTGTGAATAACAAAGGAAACTTCATTTTTTTGATTTTTCGCTAAATTTTGAGCATGACCAAGAATGCCGAATCCTGTTACATCGGTAGCACCATGAGCATTATATTTATGCATAAGACGTGCACCTAAAAAAAAATAAAAACATAAAAACATTTTATGAATAAATCATAATCATATTACTAAAAATTTATTTATAATCACCACCAATACTTACCAACTCTATTCAATCTACTCATGCTGTCCATTGCTCGAAGATATGCTTTTCTTACGTCTTCGTCCGAAACAACGAGCTTAATTCTATCCCATCGTTCAGGATAAGATTCCAACCATTGATATGAATGAACAGCAGCTTGTGTCCCTAATGGCTTAGTTAACACAAGGACATCGCCAGCAACGGCACTATCGGGGCTGTATTGCAGAAAATTAGCTAACTTCGAACAAAACTGAAAATGTGATCTTATAACTTACATTATTAGCTCATTTGGTTTGCAAACAGTTGAAGCAACTCCACCAACAGTTACCCAAGGATTTTGAACAGTTTGACCTCCAGTCACTCGAGTATCAGCCTCATATGCACAATCCTAAGCACAAAAACAATATCAATACGTCTGATAAATGAGGACAAAAAGTTTCATAAATATGATCAATAAATACCCTAAATCCTTTAATCATAATAGGAATAACCGTATCTCGTTCCTTTTCGCTCATTTTAGTACTTATTCCTAAAATCATGAGCATATTGTCACATTCGTAGATACCTTCAGCGTACAAATCACTGAGGACGTTGGCACAAGCAATTTTGCCCATTACATAAGGATCATCTATCAGTGGATAGAAGAAATCAACTGTTTGAACCATCAGAAGACTTCCATGTCTGATTGGTGTTACACTACTGTCCATACCAATACCTGAAGTTCAAGAAATAGTGAATATTGGACGAAAAGATTAAAACAAACACAATGAGATACATGTTATTAGCCATGCTTTCAATATGCATGACAATAGACATAAAATTGTTAAAAGTTCATTATCAATGAGTTATCCTCATTCTTTTCTTACCAATTTTTGGAAGTTTTGTTTGTTTTAGAGTAGAAGTGGGTGATAAAGAAGAAGATGAAGATGAAGTATGATGAGTTGAATTGTCATTGAGTCCCTCAAGAAGTTTATCCAGAGTTTCCTGAGGAACCTTGCAACCTCAGCCTCTCAATTCGGCAAATTTGGTCAACCGGAATGAAGGATCTAAACCATATTCTTCCGGGTCAAAAGGTTTATGAACAGCATCAAGAGAAGGTCCAGAGACTTCTAGTTCAACGGCTTGCAAGGCCAAATCAAGAGTGTTATTATCCATTGTAAAACCAACTTGCAGTAGTTTCAGTAATTATGGCGTTAAAATTACACAAAAGCAGATTACAATACTGAGAGTTAATAAAGTAAACTTCACAATGGTAAATTAAGAAGCAAGGATGGTGTTTAAATACGATTTCCAACACGAGCTCTTTCATGTCTTTGAGGGAAAAGCAGTTCCCCTCGATGCGTATTAAACTAAAAGGCTAAAAATGATTACATAAAGATTAATCTTGCACACATCTTTCTCTGCTTTAAGAAGCAATACTTTAAAAATAAATTGCTCTGAGGCGACTTGTTTTTGAAACTTAGTATTAAGACAGCGAATAAGGACACATGCTAATACTTAAAATCGTTTTAGTATAAAACAAGCTCGCAATTTTATGGGAATCCCCAAGACTAGTGCATCAACAACTTTAATTGGTACTATTGCTGTCTACAATCTTGTTGTTTGATTTCATGTTGCAGATTAAGAAAAATCATAGATGCTAGACGATTACAGCATACTAATCCGTCTACCTTTTTTATTGTTAGGTGCTCAACTGCTTGCATCAAAGTTGCATGATCAATTTTAAAAAGTTGAATTGTTGAAGCAAAGTTTCAGTGGCATTCAATTTTTAATAATAGATATGATATCTAACATTTGGAAAGAATTACATTGTAATGAAAGTAAATAAAGGAAGGCGATTGGAAAATATATATTTATTGAAGTTTAGATTGAAACACTGTTGAGTGGCATCAGTAAATTAGACTCTGTTACCAGGTTTATCTAATTCACATCATAAGATACAATCTTCTTCAATAATATAAAATGAAGATGGAGATGATGATTGAAATTGTGATAATTGAAAGTTACGAAAAAAAGGAATTGAAAAAAGTATATAAGTTGAAAGATACAATCAATCAGTTAGTAATTAGAATATTTGTTTCTTTTTTGTTGAATCAAACAGTTGAATTTTTTAAATTTTTGTTTGTTTTACCATAGTTCACCATCCTTTTCTTTACTAGGCACTTCAATAACTCTAGGTTTGTCAATTATTCGAGCAGTTCTATTTCCTTTCTCTACAATGCCAATAATCCATGCTGAATATCCTTCTTGCTTTTCAATATCTTTACAAAAAGCAGCCGCTTGTTCTCGTGGTAAACAAATTAACAACCCACCAGAGGTTTCAGGAGAGTATCCTTGTAATAATTGGAACATACTGCTACAAGCTCTACCAACTGCAGCCATTTTAGCAATGATGGGTAGATTGTGAATAACAAAGGAAACTTCATTTTTTTGATTTTTTGCTAAATTTTGAGCATGACCAAGAATGCCGAATCCTGTTACATCGGTAGCGCCATGAGCATTATATTTATGCATAAGACGTGCACCTAAAAACATAAAAATTATAAATTAACAACATGAGGTATAATGAAATATAATCATCATCAATACTTACCAACTCTATTCAATCTACTCATGCTGTCCATTGCTCGAAGATATGCTTTTCTTACGTCTTCGTCCGAGACAACAAGTTTAATTCTGTTCCATCGTTCAGGATATTCTAGCCATTGATATGAATGAACAGCAACTTGAGTTCCTAAAGGTTTAGTTAACACGAGGACATCTCCCACAATGGCACTGTCAGGACTGAATACAAAAAACGATTAAGTATTGAACGTAAAAATTGATTGGCTTAACATCTCACATAAGATATTCATTTGGTTGACAAACACTCGAGGCAACACCACCAATGGTCAACCAAGGATTTTGTACAGTTTGTCCACCCGTTACACTTGTGCCAGCTTCATATGCACAATCCTAAAAGAGTGATGTAGCAAAATTAAAAATAATGTTTTGATGAACAGTTCAAAAAGCAAAATCATCTATTTACCCTAAAACCCTTGATCATAATAGGAACAACTGTATCCCGTTCTTTTTCGCTCATTTTCTGACTTACAGCCAAGATCATTAGCATGTTATCACATTCAGTAACACCCATAGCATATAAGTCACTAAGAACGTTTGCACAGGCAATTTTTCCCATCACATAAGGATCATCAACCAGAGGGTAAAAAAAATCAACTGTTTGAACTAACAAAAGACTTCCATGTCTGATTGGTGTTATACTGCTATCCATACCAATACCTAAAGTTAAAGAAAAGTTAGATTTGCGAATTTCATAAAAGATTGGCAGCTTAAATGTCATGAACAGAAAAGTTTCAAAGCGGCAATGTAAGTATTTTCAATAAACAGTTATGTTAAAATCGCTTTCCAATGTCTTTTTTACCTATCTTTGGCAATCCCATATGTTGGTGCATAAAATATGATGGAGATGAAGGCGATGAAGTTGCAGATGAAGATGAAGTTTGATGAGTATGATTTTCGTCCAGTCCCTCAAGAAGCCGAGCCAAGGTTTCCTGAGGAACTTTACACCCTCATCCTCTCAATTCGGCAAATTTAGTAAGCCGAAATGATGGATCTAAATTATGTTCCTCAGGATCAAAAGGCTTATGAATGGCAATATGAGGGGACCCAGAGACTTCTAACTCTACAGCCTGCAAGGCAGCACTGTGAGCACCATGATCCATTGTGCAACTGAAGTAGATAAACTAAATGAACAAATTGAAACAATTGATCAACTTGATGCAACACAAAGCATTTATTAACCACAAGATGTACTTTAGAGTTGGACGATAACAATAAAAATATCGATAGTTATCGATAAATTAGATAAAACAATATATCGATAACTCAAAAAAGTTAAAAGAAATAATATGCCCTTAACATTGCCATCTGTTGATAGAATTCTAATTTAACACTAAACACATTTTTTAAATAATTAATATGATAGCTAATGCAATAATGTACATTAATAATTAGTATATTAGCTCGATGATGAAGGTGGCTGGTGTCGGAATAATTAAGACATTAAGAGACAACAAATTACTATTGCAAAAATGTGATAAAATTAGGTATAATTCGGTTTTCGAGTCATAAGCTCCACTTCTTCCTACCATGAGAAACAATTAAGACTTCTGATCAGGAAAACTAACTAACTATACATTACATGTAATATTTCAAAGTATATCAATGTATAATATTGAAGATAAAACTTACCCCGACAATCATCGACTTTATTTCTTTCATAGTTCACATCTTCATTGTCAATTTTAGTTTTTACTTTTGAATTTTTGAAACTCTTCTTCCATTAAAAGCCAATCATGGATCCATTCCAATTTGAGCAATTTAGACGGCATTTAGTATGAGGTGTTACCATAGGTAATTTAGAGGCAGCATCGGGACCCTTGCCTTTCCTTCGTTCACGGCTTCTGGCTGGGTAGGTAAAGGTCGGTTTCGCTGTTTTAAGTCTTATTCACATCTTTACCTTCTCCTGAATCCCCTCCTTGACCAGATACAGCACCTCGATTGTTCAAGAGAGATTTAAATTTTGCTTCTGATGATCTTGTAACACTATTATCCTGAAGTAATATATATATGCTTTACCTCACACGATCGGACGATTTTTCAACCAAAACCTTTCCAAGAAAGCCAGTTGCTCCGGTCACAAAGACTGATTTGTTTCGATAAAATGAAGTGATGTTAAGATGAAACTAATAGTCACAAATGAAGTAAAAGAAATACATTAATGATGAGAAACACAGGAGACTCAGAAGTGATGAGATTTGAGCATTCTATTTTTAACTAAAATACCTGTAAGATTCAATGCGACTGTATTAATGTATGTATAATGCCTTTCTTTTTTCTTCAGGTATATCATCAGCGAAGGATGATTACTTTGCTTATTGATCTACCTGTTTACAAAATAAGGTCAACACATAAAAAATTTAAGGTGAAAACGAGAATAATTCAATTTATAAACAATGTTCTTCACTTTTCGGCTTCTCTCTGCGCCCGGAGCAGCTTCAAAATGGTTAAACGGTGAAATTGATCCTTGTTCCCTAAGGATCCGTTTACAATCAAGTTTAGCACTTGATAGTTTCCGGCGTCCAAAGTAAGGTATACCAAGTTCTTCGAGGTCGGCGTCGTTAAAATTTAAGAAAGTATTAAAATCGATATCAGCACGTTGAAAATAATCAATATACTTTGCAAGGCCCAAACGGGTTAAGACCTCCGCTAAATCGAGACTATTACTCGCTCGACTACCGTAGCCTGAGCTTATACTGCCCGATTTACTTCGTGAGGAGGAGGAGATGGGATCAAATAGGTTTCTTGTTATGTCCCATTCTTGAAATTTTGAATTCTTCCATCAACCCATAGCTGAATCAACCGATCACCCATCGACCATCAATCGCACATCAGCCTATCACCCCATCAGTCTTCCATCGATCAGTACTTAATTATTAATTGATCCATAATTGTGATACTTAATTCAAATCTTCTTCTTATATTCACAATTTTCCGTTGAGATAATAATTATTATACTTAGCTTAACGACTTTCACATTCTTTGCTTATCTTTGCTATGGACACAACATTTCTACTACTGTTAGAACTGTTACTGAATAGTGAAGAACTGGAGGCCATTGAAGAACCAAGAGAGAGGCTTCCAGTGCAAGTTGAAAAGTCAAAACTTTGTTGTTTACGTAAAGTTTTTAATCCGTTTGAAGTTGGGTATTTCGTCGATTCCCAGAATGACGATTGAATAGACATATCATTGGTTAAAGAGCTATTAGTGAGAAGACTGTTGTTCGGATTGTTATAATAAACTCTTCGACTGGTGTCAATTTTTCTGTTGCACGGCAGTCGACTTTTAAGGAGCTCGTGAGGCATTGATTTAGAAAAACCAAATCCTGCCCAAGATGGGGCCAGAGTTCGAGGTTCACTTTCACTTGCTTTTGGTTTGGCTTCACGAACTGCTTTAGCAGCTAAATATTTAATCCAATTTTCTAGGCTCTGGCTATGGAAAAGCTGTTGATTTATCAGAGACGGAAAAGTTACCAAAAATGGCAGAAAGACTCCTGTTAGGTGGAGGGGAAAGATCAAGGGGTGATGGAGCTGAAGTTTCACTTCCACTATTAGGTGAATACCTCGTAAGAAAAGATTGGTTCATGTTAGGTGTTGTTGAGGTGGACATCAAGTTATGAGCGGATTGTATACAGCCATTTCCATTTCTATTATCCGAACTATTTTTCAACATATCAATGTTAAAAGATGGAGTATTTGGTTGAGCAGAGATTTGCTGTTGCTGTTGTTGATTGGCTGCTGCTGCAGCAGCAAAATTGGTCAATTGAGTAGCTAGCATGGCTTGAAAAAATCCATTAGGTCCTAACTGTGAAGGAACATTAGTTGAAGCGCCAGTAGCAGCAGCGCCAGCGGCAAAACTTGGAAAATTGTCAACACTTGAGTAATCATTAGATGGCCAGTTAAGAAGCCCGTTAACTTGTCCACCAAGTCCACCGTTATTAGGTAACGACCAGAGGGATTAAGAGCCGATCTAAATCCACCCTTCATTGTCATCACACTTGTTGGATTAAGGGTGCAATGAGGTAAAAATGAAGAAAAAAGTTTGACCATCATCATAATGGTATGTTTATCACAACAATTATTAGGAACTTCACTCTCATCTAATTCCAATATTTGCCTTCTAACTTCAAAAAGCATACGTGAATCACGTTCTGCTCCCCGAACAGTCATGCATCTACCAGATTTTTGTTTAACTTTCTGTTTAATTAGTATGGTAACTTCGTAATCCTTCATCAATTGGGTTATCAAAGCTGCAACCGTCTGTTGGCCTTCTTTAAAGTCAAAAATATAATAATAAGAACTAGTGGAAGGTAGCCCAAAAGTTCTTGCCAGGCAAGGACAACAGAATCAAAGCAGGGTCCTTTAATCATAACAGTTGATTTTCTATCTGTTAAGGAATCATGAAGAGTTGTCATCGTTGTATTTTCAACAGCTACTGGATCAGGGAAATTAATAACAACACCCGTAGATTGTATGATAGACCGAATGTTGACATTTCCTCGACCCATAACAAAAGAGTGATGTTGAAAAGCGATGTCGATCACCAAGGTGAAAAGTATTGTTGGAGAGTTGTTGGTCATAGGATGGCCACAAAGATATTCAATCGAAACCGCAATACCTTGTTTCATGGCTAACCATTAAGCACGGGTACCTCGAACTGAAATGGATGCATAACTGGCACAAGAAGAACCAAAATTTCCAAAAACATTGCTTTTTCCAATGATTCGAATGTTGATAGAGATACCGTAAGTTTGTTGAATTGTTTGAATGGCTGGTGAAGTGTGGCCAAACATTTCCATTTTATTGTAACCAGCGATGGGAAGCTCAAAATGTACGCTCAGCGGTAAGAGTTCCCGGATTCGACATCCAGCTTGCACTGCACCCAGTGCAGTACCAGCAATGCTAACCTAATTACTTTTGTCAATGGTGTTGGTCCGATTAGAGTCAGGAAAATGACCAGTTTCATTCATTACTTTTTGAATGGATCGACCACCTTTACCAATAATGTGAGAATGATCGGTATAAGCAACATCCATTTTAAGGGTAACACGATTTTTGCGACTATCCCAGTGATCAACAATTTTATCCTTGGCAGACAATATATCTTCTTGTGCACCAGTAATACGGATATGTGGATCCTTCTTAGATTTAGTTCCTGGCTTCAATTTCATTGGCCATGTGATAATGGTTTCAGCCATGATTTCATTGAAGAACTCTTCTGCAGTTCCAAGTTCTTTGTTCTCGCCTGTAAAGCAAAAAAATACATAAAATAAAGGATTATTAAAATTAAATAAAAACAAGAACATGATTGTATTTACAATAAATATAACTTAACTGTAAAAATGATAGCACAAAAGAAACATTGAAGAAAATGATGATTCTGGTTTAAAGGGATCAACAGTAGACCAAATATTACCTAAGCGTTCATGAACCATAGTAAATGATTGTGGACACAGGACCATATTTAATACAAATCACATAATCAAAATAAAAACAAATATAAAATGCAAAATGCACATGTGGTTAGCAAGCAGCCAACAATTAAAAAGTAAGACGAATAAAGAAGGGGTTAGAAAAAAAATACTTCAACTAATTTATTAAACACAACAAAGTGAAACATTTTACAGTTTTGCCTGACATAAAGTCAAGTCGGAAAAGGCTCAATGGATTTGTAATTTCATTTTTTATTTGTGAAATTTTGAAACAGAAACATGTACATTTTATTGCGAAACCAGAGTATTTTTTAGATGCATAAAATAAAATAAATTCAAGTCTCTGCGTAGAAAAGCATACAATTTTTTTCAGAAAGCAGGCGATAAAATGCCGAAATCGAAAAGGTGGCAGCTAATTCTATTATATCGCTTTTCAACATGGCCTAATGTACCGATATCTACCGTCAAAATCCAGATATCGAATAAACAATTCTTGGGGTTCCCTTGTTAGTAGGAGCACTTTCAAATGTACACTTGAAAAACTGAAGGGAAGATGAATTGTCCAATTTTCACTAAACATGCAATGTGAAACCTTTAAGGAGATTAAAACATTAATGTTGTTTTCCAATCACTATTGTCGTTTGTTATTGAATAATAATTAAACTGAATTAATTAGCAATTTATTGCTGTTCCACTATCATTTGAAACCAACAGATTTAGTATGAAAATTAAAAGATACTTCATGTTAAATAGAATAGAATAAACTCGAGCTGAAGATCAAAGCAAGTTAAGTAAACCAGTGTAAACTTGGTGAAACTATCAAAAGGCTGACACAAAGGTTAACAAATTTAACATTTTCTTATCAGTGATAATCTTTTCAAAGTGTTATACATTTTACTTTCGCCTGTTGTTTAATGATTCAAAATCTTACCGTTTATAATCTGTTCAAACTTTTTCTTATCTACTTTAACTCGTTCTTCAAATGAACCACTGGTTGATTCAGATTTAACGTTACAAGCTTCATCGATGGTGTTACTATTTGAATCAATTGATGCTGAATCCATGGAAAATTTTTTAAGGTGAGTCAACACAGACAAGACACGTTTAAGATTCTTTATTTGCTCCACGACAAGCTTACGGAAGGCAATAGATCGGGTTTGTTAAGTGCTGATGGAATTGTGTTGAGAACTGATTTGAGAGTCGGTTGTGTTTTAAAAAACTAAAAATTTCTTTTAATTGACTTTGCTTCCTTTAGGGTCCCAATTAGTTCTCAATTTGTATGAAGATGATCAAAAATAAAGGGATAAACGGAGATTCTTTGGTGATCAAAGGTGGTGATTTAAAGATGGTGTGACAAGCAGTTACAAATAACAAAAAAACAATACAATCCAAAGGAAAATGAAAAAATAACAAAAAGATGGTTGAAAGTAGGAAGAAATGGACCAAACAACAATCAAAGATAAATATTTAAGGTGTAAATTGAGGAGAAAGGGTTAAATTAAAATCCTTTTAGTTTGGCCATAATCTTTACGCAAAAATTTCATGTTTTGACTTTATATATTGTGTAGATTAGTATATTAGCTCGATGATGAAGGTTGGCTGGTGTCAGGGATGATTAAGAAAATAAGAGACAACAAATTACTATTGCAAAAATGTGATAAAATTAGGTATAATAATAATTTTCGAGTCATAAGCTCCACTTCTTCCTACCATAAGAAACAATTAAGACTTCTGATCAGAAAAACTAACTAAATATGCATTACATGTAATATTTCAAAGTAAATTAATGTATAATACCGGGTGATTGATAATGTACTCCGGACGTTTGAACGATAATAAATTCGAAATTACTGGGCCAATATTTTTATTTTGGTATCATTAGAAAGCTGAAAGTCCAACTTAAAAGTGCTGTATATTTTCATAGTGAAAAATTCCAGGCTGAACTACCAATCTCACAAAATGCACAAAATTGGCGTAATTTAAGCTGTAATTTTGAGGCAATTTTTGGTCAGTTTTCAATGGGATAGAAAAGGGATGAAAATTCAGGAATAGAAAAATTTTTGCTAGATAATTAATTGGGATAAAAAGTGTACAATATCTTTCGTATACCATTAAAGATTCGTTTGACCCTAAAAAGCCAGAAAAACTCAAATTAAAAACCTGTTAAAAATTCGAAAAACCAAAACAGAAAAAAATGCAGTTTTTGTTCGTTTTCGAGAGTTAAAGTGATGTGAAAGTTGTTTTTTTATTTTAATATGTTCTCTAGTCAAAGACGATTCTATTGATATATCACAAGTCTGTTTACTCTGCTTAGTTCGAAAAATATTTGGGCGCAAAAATCCGGAGTCAATTATCAATCACCTTGTATTAATGTATATAATATTTTATTCGATCATTCAAAAAAGTAACCGTGTTGTTTCGAGAAAAATTACAAGTTTTGTATCCAGAGTTGAAATAGATGGTGAAGACCTGTTGCTGGAAAAAGCTAAAGATTTTGTGGCTCAAGTAAACGCTTTCACCGCACAAAATTGTATTCCAGATAACTGCATAATAAATACTGATCAGACCAAAATGGAGTATGAAGTTACCCTTGGAAGAACTTTATCACATCGCGGGGAAAAGTTGACCGTTGCCCGAGTTCAGATTGTAACCTCAACTACTACTAATATACAGCTCAGCTCTGTTCAAATAAATCTGGAAAATTGAGTAAAAAAATTATATTATTTATGTCTGCAGGAAAAGGATGGTAAATTTTTTGCTGAAACTGGGCGAGAAGCAATGACTAGATACCCGTCAGTAATTGTTGACTGTTCAAGCAGTGGAAAACTGACGAGATCTAACCTGGAAAATTTTGCTCAAAATGTTCTTGCAGTTGAACTAGGTGATCGAAACCTTTTGATTCAAGACTCATTTTCTGGTCAGAAAGATACAAGTATTTTTACCAGCGTTTGCCCAAATAGCACCTTGGATATCAAGTACATACAGTGATTACACACTTATTTTTACAAAAGGAACTACGCCATCTATTGATTAGAAACCAACTTTTTTCCAACAATCATTTCACCGGTGTAAATAATTTAACTTGATCGTCTGACGAACTTCTGACCATTTTTCTATTTTTCATATCAATAGATGGCGTAGTTCCTTTTGTAAAAATAAGTGTGTAATCACTGTACCACCGAAAACAACAAAATATTGTAATGATAGTTAAATGAGAGAAAGAAATTGGGATTTGGGTAAAACTGTTTATTGTATTTTCAGGGATAGGGTCGTATACATGGTTGATCAGGGGATGATGATGGTGCATTTTTCTTAATTCCTTTTTTATTCATTTTCTCTCTTTCTCATTTCTTCTTCTTTCACCTCTGACTTTTATTATCATTTTTTGTGGAACTTTGTGGATTTTCTGTTAGCCATAAAATTTCTCTCTTTTTCATCATTAAGGGTCTGATTGACTTTAAATGTTGTGTTTGCGTAGGGGAGATAGCGATCTCCTCTCTGTTGGTTTTAGCCAAAACAAATAGTGATCATCACATTCTCCCCTTCTTAAGAGTCCGAAGACCCTTGAGGACTGACCATTGGTTCTACCATTGCTCATTTTAGCTTAGTCCATTGACCAAGGCATTTCCATTCGTTTTCTGGTGCTCTTTTTTTTCTTTTGTTTTCAACATCTATTTTTCTTTTTACCATGGATAATATTTTAATAGTAAGTTTTAAGTAATTAATTGTGTAATGTTTTGGAGTTAATTCTTCTCTTTTCTTTTGTGGTGTAGGAAGCCTTGGATGGTCTCAAGGTTAAAGGCTCTTTTGGGCTGATCCTAAACGGATAAGGGCGAAACGGATAATTTCACTCTGGATAAACCTTTTAAGGCTAAAATTTTTAAAGAGTTTAAATCAAACTAAATACACTTAAATAAAAACTTAAATAAAGCAAAATTTTATGGTCATTTCTAGTCTTGATTTTGTTTGTTATTTCTTTAACTTTTGTTCCAATCAACTTTTCAACCAGAATGAGTGACAATCTAACTTTCATTAAGTCAAAAAAAGGCGCTAATCATTTAGTGTTAGAAAATTATGAGCATAGGAAATACCGAACCGTTGGTAATACTTGCTATTGGCGCTGTGTAAATGTTAATTGTTCAGGTCGATTAATTTTGATTGATGGCGTTATAACCAAAAATGTTGATCATAATCATGAACCGGACACTGTGAAACTTATTCAAGCAACTCAACGTAATAATGCCAAACAAATTGCTACAAGTGAAACTTTCTGTCGAGTCAAAGATACTTACAATCGAGCAACTTTGGAAACAATTAGTGCCAGTGACCAGAATAAGGAGGAAGTTATCGTTTCACTCAAAACTTATCAACAACTGAGGAATACAATCAACCGTGCTCGATCTAAACGTTTCCCCACATTGCCAAAGTCAATTGACGATATAAGTGTTCCTGACTCATTAAAAACTAGTGCAAATGGTATTTTCTTTCGTTTGAACGTCAACAAAATGCTTATTTTCGTAACAAATGAATTCTTAACATATTTGTGCTCAGCAGATCATATTTATGCTGATGGTACGTTTCGGAGTGTACCCCGACTATTTCAATCTCTTTATTCGATGCATATCATGAAAAATGAAATTATGGTCCCCATCGTTTATGCCTGATTCAACTTTATCAACGTATTTGCAACTTTTTCGTTCAATTCAAGATCTGTGCACTGAAAGTAACCTAATTTGGAACCCAAAGAAGTTTACGACGTATTTTGAAGCCGCAGTTATTAGAGCAGTGCAGATCACATTCCCAACATGCGAAATGAAATGCTGTCTCTTTCATTACAGTCAAAGTCTATGGCCGAATGTTGGAAAACATGGATTGATTGATCGTTATAAATCAGATATGGATGGCGTATAAAATACTATCAAGCGACTTTCAGCCATGCCATTCCTCAAAGTGGATGATATACAAGATTGCTATCAAATGATCGTCAGTGAAGCGCCATCGGACGATAATATGCAATCGTTCTTGGATTATTACAGCAGAACCTATCTAAATGCAGAGTCCAGATTCCCATTAACTATTTGGAATCATTTTAACGATAACGATCCTCGGACAAACAACCATGTTGAGGGATGGCATTCCGGTTTCAACCGTGCTGTTGGTCGTAATCATGCGAATTTGTGGATATTCATCGAAAATCTAATCAAGCAGCAGAATGCTTATGAAATTAATATTCTTATGGCTGATTATGGAGCACGGGCAACTACTGGTTCGCGAATTTACAGTGAAATCAACAAAAGAATCATGGTTATCACTTCAGATTATGATGATAATATTATTACTGCGTTTGAATGCCTTGATAAACTGAAATTCTACACAAAACTTTCTGATCTAAATTGATTTACGTTACAATTGATAATTATTCATTTTTTGTATGCGCACTGCTATTTAGCCTTCAATAAATTGTTCTTAAATAATCATTTCCACCAGAAATTAATTGTCTTTTCCCTAATTCAGAGCAGAGGCTGAATCGTTCAGAATAACTTTTAGTGTCAGTGCCATCTATTGACAAGAAAAATTTTTACGCTTGCGCAGTTGATTTTAGCTGTCATGGTTTTAGCTCATATGGTTTAGCTAAAATGAACCTAGCTCTGAATGATTTAGCTAAAAAGATACTGAACCGTCTCAAGTCTTGTGTGGATCTTGATAGTGGTGTCCAGTTCCTCAAGGAATTTATTAATCAGCAGAAGGAAAGACAGGTGTCCGAAGAAGTTAGTTTACTTCTGAATGAATTATTGGATAAAATCAGCCGATAACCAAAGGAAAGTGGAACTATCATTGAAGAGATTTGGGAGGAAGAACCGATCGTGTTACTTTCCAAACTAACCAAAGAAAAAATTGCTTTTGGTTCTCGACCATCCTTAGTCCCGATATATAAGAGACTATCGGAATTCAACAACCGTAATATTCGAAGATTGGCTCCCCTAATGTTATGTAATCCCGAATTTGGCACAAAAATCCTTGTTGAAGTTTCGATTTTGCTTACATAATGTAGATGTGACCACTGCTAAACGGTGGACTAATTTGATTTCTCATTTAGTTTATACCCATGCTAGTAAAATTCCTAATAATTTAGGCATGAATAAAACATATGCCAAGGGCTGGGTTGATAATCGCTAATGATTGTAATGATTAATGTATTTGATGATTTTACTATAATAAACGTGCTTTCGGAATCAGTCTTTGTTTGTTACTAGTTATTATTTTCTTTTCATTTACTATTCTACTTATAATGTTGGACTAACTAGTTAATGTAAGTATTTTTAGATTGATAGTAATGGTGGTGGTGGAGAAAAATCAAAACGTGGAATTGAACGGATTAGACGTGATTTAGCTCTTTCGAAAGA